AAGGCAGACGAAACCCGGCCCTGAAGGGCTGCCTGGCCCTCAGCTCCCCAGGTTGTCACTGATGGAGCCCGAGAGCGAGTTCCAGAACATCGAGACCGAGCGCAGGGCGTCTGCAGCGCCGCCAGCCGGCCCGGAGGCCACATCGCGCTGGGCGCAGCACCGAGGCAGCCTGCGCAGCATGAGGGGGCCAGGCCTGGAGGACCGAGGGGACCTGCCCGCCGCGCTGCGCTCGTCTTTCCCGGGCGGGCCCCGCGAGAAGCCGGCGCGCAGGGTCAGCGACAGCTTCTTCCGGCCCAGCGTCATGGAGCCCATCCTGGGCCGCGCGCAGTACAGCCAGCTGCGCAAGAAGAGCTGAGCGCCCAGCGCCCGGTGCGCTGCCCAGCGCCGCGCCCAGGGAGCCAGGGCCTGTGGCGCCAGCAAGTAAGAAGCTACGCGTCCGAGAGAGTTGACTTCGTCAGAGTAGCCCCCTGGGCACCCTGAGCCTCGCACGTCATCTTTTGAGTATCTTTTTGGGGCTAAGCCTGCAGCCAATTTTTAAGAAAAATAAGAGCAGCACCCTGCTTTGATTGTCCCGTGTTTTTTTTTTACTAAAAGATTAATTGCTTGACTTGATGCCTCACTTCTTTAATCAGACTTGTGGCCAAGTGACATTTCACTGTTTCCAAGGTTTAGATCCACCCTCGTAGACAAATACTTGCCACCAAAGAGTTACGTGTTGCTAACCTGAAGGTCCCACCGAGCAGGAGTTGTGGACACATTTTTAAGCTCAGAGGTCCCTGAGTGTGCAGCTTCTCGGGGGGCTACTTTGAAGGAACAGCCGTCGGGTGTAAAAGCTCTCTCGTGTTTATGTGAAATACCGGCGTCACTTTGTGTGTACCTAGTACCGCGCGTCTTCACCGGCTGGGTCCCGGCCGTGCTCATAGCGCCACCTCCTGGCTCAGCACATCCATTGGCACCCTTCCTGCCTCACCTCCACCTGTGCCTTCAGCTGCCTTTCAACCCTTTGGAAAGCTGGCATCCTGGTGTGTGCCCTAGAAAGTCTACACTACTTAGAGCACCCCAAGCTCTATTTTTGAAAATGCTAATATTCAGTAAATCTCAGAAATGTATACCTATAATTTAATGTTCAAACACTGCAAGAGGGTGCGTGTCTTCCCCCTTGAGGTCCCGGTTCCCCTTCACCCAAACAACCAGGGTGCCAGTCTCCTGTGCAGGGGTCCAGCTCCAGGCTGTGCATGTGCACACGTGCGTGCAGGTACTTCCCGCTCGGCCCTCACAGCGCACCTTAGGCACCCAGAGTCCTCGCTCCTTTCAGTGGCCACCTAGCAAGTGCCTCATCATGTAACTGAGTTGACCAGTGCCCCAACCAGGGGCTTTTTTTTTTTTTTTTTTGCTACTGCAAACAGTACCACAATAAATGTCCTTACACAGAACGGCTCGTGTACGTGTGTGGATATATGCATGGGGTGAACTTATCACTTGGAACTGTCACTTGATGGGCGTAAGCGTATCTGCGTCTAAATCGTCAGGTAAAGCCGAGCAGGCTTCCAAACAGGGCTGTGTCCTTACGATGTCCGTCTGCAGCGGCACCTCTGCCTTTTCTATCCGAAGGTGATGGCAGAGAAGGGGAGAGGCCAGGCCCGCTGTCCCATTGCCGCTGTCAGCCTGCCCCGGGGCCCCCTCCCTCTGGTCCCTCTGCTAGCTGAGGTGACACATGACCACCTGGTTCAAGCCGCCTGGCCTTGTGAGTTCTGTCCCTCCAGGGTGAGGGTTTCCTCCCACGGAGGCAGCCAGAGTCCTGGCCATTTAGACAGCCTTCCTGTAGAAATCGCCCGTGGACACCATGAGATCACACTGTTGACATCAGAGTCCGGTTTTCATTAAGACTTTTTCAGCGGCAGATACGTTTCTGGATTTTCATTAAAATTCAACCCCATCCATTGGAGGTCACAGAAGGGAAGCTGAGCTTGGAGGGGGCGCGGGGAGTGCAGAGAGAGGGGGGG